AATCCGCCATGGGTGGATCCCACATAGTCGTTGGTCACCACCTCTTCTTGAGTCAGGCGCAACTCGTCGCGAAGCCGATCCAAGCTCTCGTCCGCGGCCGCACTTGCAGTTTGGGAATCCTCCAGATCTCGCTCGAGGTCATGGATCCGGGAAGCGCCATCTCTCCAAGGAGATGGTCGTTGTCGTCTCGCATGCCATCCCGTTGACGGAAGGCGCGATCCAGCCGTCCAGTCAAGTCGCGGGTCTCGACCGCTTGATCGGCCAACAAGAGTCGCAGATCCTGTGAACGAGAGGCCGCACGGTGCTCCCACCCTTGGATCTCCATAGCCTGGTCATGGACTTGGGCTCGCAAAGTTTGGAGTTGAGTGGCGTGCGAAGACGTGGATAACGACTGATAAGCTTGCTGAGCAGCCGCCTCCGCACGTTGAGCTTGGTCTCGAGCATCGTGGGCCGTCTGGAGCTCCGCCGTTAAGGTTTGCACTCGATCGGAAAGAGCCTGGGCTAAAGCTTGCAGATTGGTGAGTGACATAGAGGAGGGGCTGACCGGCGGAGTGGTGGATGGGGCCTTGCCCGGCGATTTGCTGATACGGTTGGTGGGAGACATGTGTCACGTAGAAGAGGAAGCGGTTGGGGATGCTGGTAGTGTACGTTGTGAACGCTGTTGTGCAGCGCCGACCACGTACAGGAGGCGATTGTGGTGAAGTGCTTTCTCAGAAATAAGAGAATGGGCCTGACAAGGAGTCACTATCCCGAATCGGTGACAATCTCAAGTGATTAGAGAGGATTTGGATCGCCTGGCGCGGATGCACGTTGCCTGAGGTAGATTGGCCATGACGAGCAGCATCCTGTATGGGCGGACGATGGATCTGGTATGACTGACGTACGGGAAGGCAAGATCCACCAAGGAATAACTCGGATCCACCCTTACCTGGGTTCACTTAGATGGATATGGGATTTACTATGTACGGGTGGATCGAGTGTGGATCTTATGAAGGAATGATGGAAGGTGTCATCTGAAGGTGGATCTGGTATCAGCGACTAACGAGAAGGCAAGATCCACCGCGAGGTGGCCCGGATCCCATACTTCCGCGTTCGGATCTAAGGAGGTGATGATCCCGCATAGAGGGACCTGGATACAGGATACAGGGATAGTGGATCTCAAACTTTCGTGGGCCAATGGAGATCACAGACGGTCACAAGACGATGTTGGAGGATTGGAGAGCTCAGATCCATGACGAGTGTACACTTACAGCAACCTGGATCCGGATGAGTGTACCCATAATAGAGTGACCATAATGATTACGCCATGGATCCGGTGGATCGGAGGATAATACAGCTGGGATGATAGGTCAAGGAGAGAAAGGACATGCAGCCGAGCCTGATAAGGGATTTAACAGGTAAAAGACATAGAAGGTAGAAATCCAGGCAGGTATAGGCTTAAGTATCAATACAGAACTCAATTTGCACAGTATCACACAAGTGCCTTCCTGCCTTCACGAGTCGGAACTACATTGGCCGTACGAGCTCGGAGAAGGTTGGGAATTGCGAATCTAGTGTTGGTAGCGATAACTGGATAATACATTGGCCAGATCCTACAACCTAGTGAGCTTTCCTATACACGTGCAGATCCGACAGGTTAACCGAATTTACTACTTGGTCGGTTACACCCTAGAGGCTCTCAACTCTTAAGATCCCGTCACAGGAGGCGGCAAGTACGACGTAAAGGAAACGCAAAGGCAAGGGACACACCCGCAAGGCAACCCTACGGCCAGATCCACGATCTAGGCCCTGGATCCACTTAAGCTCGAATATTCGCTTTGGATCCAGAACCAACCACGGACGCAGAGTGAAGATTTTACCACTGCTGCTCCACCCCATCCCCACGTCTCGCCAAGACACTCAAGCTTCACCACTTGAACTCTTCGGAAGTTACCGAGAGAGCAAGATCCCGCCCTACCGACGGGTACACAAGGTGAGGAAAGTTCAGCAGAACACGGATCATCGGGGGACCCCTCCGTTAGTCGGTGTCTGGGCGCTGTTGGTAAGTCGGATCCAGCAATCTCGCAGATTTTGCTGATCCCGCTACACCACAGCTGCTTACCACACCCTGGCTCGGTACCGCGTGGGTACTCGGTGTCAATGCCAGACACCAACACCGCAGTGGTATGGTGGGGAGATATGCCCCACCACGGTCGAGTATCATCAAGGTACATGGTGTGTCTATGACAGACACTGGTATGGGTGCAAAAGATATGCGCCATTCCACGACCCGATGCTGAGCTGAGCGTATGCGCTGTGAGTCAGCGTACATACCGTGCATCGGCACTGGCTGCTGTCGAGCAGCCTGCCGGGAGCTCCGCGTAATAACTCGTCGTGCATGACACCCATCAAGTGCACGGAGCACTTATGGTAGCTGTGGTACGTGCTGTACACAGCGTACCTGGTGTAGAGGCCCATGGACCTGTACACTGTGCTTGCACATGCGTTGTGCATGATGCGAGCTACTGACCATGAATCAGTTCATGCTACAGCACAAGCTGTTACCGCCAAACATGGCAGCCTTGTGGTAGGCGTGCCGCACCAAAGGTTAGTACCGGACGGTACATGGTGTCGATGGGAGACACCTGCACCACGGTTGTGTACCGTCACGGAACACGGTGTCGATGAAGGACACCTACGCACCGTTGGCATAACGGCCAGGACGCGAAGAGAGCGTGACAGAAGCTCCGCCCGCAAGGATGGATGCTTGCTGGAGCCAAAGGCATGGCCCGAGGTGAGCTGAGAGCCCCCTCTATGCTGGAGCAGGTGTTGCCCTTTTCGGTGCCGTCCCTCGAGGGAGACACCATGCTCCGGACCCGTTCGCGAAGACTGTCGTATCCTCTGGTGTGAGCTGTGGGCGAATGCCACACGTTCGGAGTCTATTGCACCCTGTGTCAAAGCACTGTACGCGCGCTAGCGCAGGAGCTAAGGCAGCTCTGAGTGTAGGCTTTGCGGCTAACACAGTTGTGAGCATAGGGATGCTAATCCCACTGAGCTTTGAGAGCACAAGTCACTTTGGGTGTGACTGAGAGCCGCTCCAGTCTCGTGGCTGCTCAGTGTGAGAATTCGCCTTTGGGTGTTTTAATTCTCTCACTTCTGATTGGAGAATCAGTTGTGATTGGAGAATCAGGTGATCATCAGCTAAGTGGGGGAAGATGTAACGGGGTACAATCCAGTGTACCCCAGGCTACAAAAAAGTGACATGTGCTCTAGGAGCCAGACAGGGCATGACTACTTAGCTCCACTATAGGTAACCTCTAGTTTGTATAGAACTTAAGCTAAATTTACTTTAAATACATATGTCTTACATCTACTCTATCAAGTAGCAAACCTTTCCCGTTGAGGCCGGGAACACGTGAACTTACGTTCACTCGGGTAGTATATACCCTTAAGCACTTCCTCTGTGCAATGTGCTGTGCGACCCCGTCACAGCCGCTCTCGACTGTCAGAGGACCATCGTTGGTGATGCCATGACCTGCGGCGTGTCTAAGAGAGCGTGAGAGCGCGCGTCGCAAGGACTTTCTTACCTATCGCAGGACACCGTCGCCCATGACGAACGGCATGCTCAGACCGAGGCACCCGCCATAGTCATCTGCACAGGCGGCGTCATGTCGAATTTGCAGACGTGTCAACGCCGGACATGCACATGCTGTGGTGTAACCTGGCCGAGTTGGCAATTGCCTGCGACGAGAAGAGTGTCAAGAAGCTCCGAAGTACCAAAAGCAACTGACGATTTGGAAAGTGGGGGGGGCTGTAGAAAAGGAGGCCTAGATAACCTCGTAGCGGAACTCAAACGCCGAGGCAACGCCGCCTTCCAACATGTTAAAATATGCATCTCCGACGTGATATGCGCAGGCAAGCCAATGAGCCGCTGTCACTATCGATAATCCAAAAGGAAAAATAAGAGAAAGAAAATAATCCCACTCAGGGCAAGCACGCAAGGCCGAAGTCAAAAAGTATATGTTAAGTCTAAAATCAGCATAAGACTGACATAAGAATACATCATCCCGGTATTGTAAAACGACAAGCTTCAATATGCCTCTATCGAATACAATTTGTTTTGGCTGCACCTACACCACCACTCAATTGACTTTGCAGCAGAATCGCTTGCGCTTGTAAACTTTAAAGTTTAAGCACAAGAAACGCCTCGAAAGGCCACTAAGGGGACATATTTTACCCCTAAGATGTAAGCTTGCGCGTAAGTGAAGCATTCTTCTACTAATGACGTTGTACTGGAGTTTTTAATCAAGGAACACATCGGATATGGCTTCATTAACAGCCTCCCGCATCGAGGAAGCGTTATGAGACTTGGTTGGCACCATTTAAAGTTCGATTTGAGTGTTATTTACTGTTGAAATGTTGAAATTATACAAGTGTATGGTTGCATTTCGACTTTGGTTTTATTTCTTTTACATGTTTCGCTGTGGTTTGGCTAATCAGTAAAATCTTATTCATGAAAAAAAAAACTGTTCGCCTTGCATGTGAACCTGTTACTTTTGTTCGTTGTTAAATGAATTTCTCATTTCTCAGTGTGTATTGTTTGCAATATGTATAGCCTTTACGACAGTTTTTTTTTATCTACGCATTTTGTTTGTTCGTTAAACTGTAGTAGTTAAGTCGGTTAAATCGCTGTATCCTTTTATTGTGGATCTTATGTTTAGTATTTCAACTAACGATACTAGCCTCCCAGTTTGGCTAAACACTTCGTTTAGGAAGTGATCAACCAAATACTCAATTGCTACACGAGGTGTAGCAGCAACCGTCATGGTGCCGTAGAAGGCGCCAAGAAGGCTCCTGCAGTCGTTTAGAGCAGTTGCAAAACTCCCAAACAGTAGTTGCAAAACACCCGAGGCGTAGGCAGTTACGAAACCCCAAATTAGCTGAGAAAGCTAGCTTACATATAACTTTCACTTCTACTTTTACCGTGGCGCGGGTCAAAGAATTCTTTAGCTCCTTTGGCCATGGAGCGCGACATCAAGATTAAAGAAGAAGCATTCCATCAAGAGTTGACTCACAGTGAGCTGAGCAATGACGAGACCAAGCAGCAGATCGACGCCCTGGCGCGCGCTTCTGCTTCCGCGCACGACACTGCGGTCGAGCAAATCGATTTCGTCCGGCGGCAGCAAAGTGAAATAGCTGCCAAGACAGCCGAGTACTTACAGCAACAGCATGATCAACAATTGACCCTGCAACAGCAACTAGAGGACATTCGGAAGCATATAGAAGAACATCGTCACATTCTTCAAGAGCAATTTCGACTGCTGAAAGCAGCTGAAGAGGACAAGGAAGACAACTTAAGGATTTGACGAAAGCAGTCCGCCCTCACATTGAACTGAGGTGGGGTCTATTTGCTGAGTCATCAGCAGGTGCACACATGCGATCTAATGGGGCACCTACAACGCAGGAGCCAACCGTGGTGTTGGCTACCGGTGCTAATATGCCCGTACCTCCGATGTATCGTGGCAGCACCAAAAAATAAAAGCGAGAGTTCATGGACAGCTACATGGTGTATAAGTGACGAGTAGACGCGCTGAATCAGGGTACTCAGTCGCAAGTCTTCATGATGCCGCTTGGAGCCTGCATCGAGCAGAGCACGCTCATTCGACTGTGTCGTTTTGAACTGTTTAAGAGCGCTACAGTAGCTACGGTATTTAGTCTCACTCATACTAATTTATGTGAGGTGCTGCAGACTCTGCTCACCTAAATTAGTATGAGTGTGGTTAATTATGCACTCTGACTATTTAAGGTGTGGTAGAATTAGTCACACTTAGACTAATTAATGTCTCACCCTATTTAGTCACACTAGTTTACGATTGTTGAGAAGCTGGTCTGGTTATTCTTTTGTTTTTTTGTGTGTTTGTTTGCCATATCCAATGGAACCGCTTGTCCAGCAAATTGATCTGGGAACTTCTTGATGATTACTTGAAGGTGACTAAATAGCTGTTCAGTTCTCCATACACCATCAACATCCAGCGGGAGTCCGCATCGAATCATGGCTTTCCGAGCGTAGTTCACATTATTCTTGTCCCTTTGAGAGTTGACTTGGCGTACTGCTTTAGCAGCCAGGGACAGAAAAAAATGCTTTCCTGGATTCTTAAGTTTTCCTGACCAGGTTCCATCGGACCTCTTTTTGTTTTGCCATGCCTCCTCCTCAATCAACTCGATCTTTTTCTCATTCCACATTCGACGCCACTCGTCCTTTATCTTTGCGATAACGAATGAGTCCGCCGGCTGACAGAGATCCGTTGCGTTTGCTGGAAAGAAGGCTAAAAAAGCGTTTAACTTCTGAAGCTCTTCAGTACACTCGTCTTCCTCGAGGTGACTTGAGCAGTTATCTAGGAATATAGTCTTCTTGCGACCTAAACGATCCGGCTTTTGAGCTCGAGGCTCTTTCAGATACTCGCGAAAGAGACGTTTGTCCATCCAGCCCTTCGGCCCCGTACGATAGCACACTCCTTCCACGTCATCCTTAACTCCACGAATTGGATAACTACGGTCTGCGTTCGTAAAAATCATCATCGGGGGCAAGATACGTGCACTTGGCCCACCGCTGATTCGCACGACCATTGTCATTCCATCCCCTCCGGATACAACATCCGCATATTTGACCTGGTTTTCGCCTCCAAAACCGAGAGTCTTGCCGTTGTCAAAATCTACAACGAAATGTGTTTCATCGATGTTTTCAATCGCATTCTCGTCATACAAACCGCTCTCAAACCCACGCTTCAACTTGCCAAGGTGATAGGGCCACTTGCTTCTCAATATCTTTAACCTTCTGAGGGCTCACCAGTCGTTTACCGGTTGCCGCACGAAGTATTATGTTGTTGTTCTCCATAAAGGTTTGCACCCAGCGTGAAGTGATCTTTGTTAACAGCTCAGCCCCGTTCTCATCAGCCTTTGGAGCTTGAGGATCCTGGAGGATACGCTTAGCTACTTGACGTAGCAAGGATGCGTCGAACTTCAACCCCAATTTACGTAATAGATCAAACTCGCTTAGCAACCAAGGATATATCCAGAGCACCCACTTGCTCCGAGGACGACCTCGGCCGGACAAAGCCTTAGAGTTCACTCGCTTTCTTCTATCTGATCGTAAACTCGACAGTGACACAGAACCCCGGAGTGGCGCTTGAAGTTGCTCTCGATTCTTCCACCAGGCCATCGCTTTGCTAAGGTTAGCATTGCGAGTAGACGAGTTAAAAATATCAGGAAATTGATCGACAGCTCTCGCGAACATGTTCTTCGCTCCCTTTGCTTTTTCATATTCTTCCATCCAGGAGATGACACGACGGCGATGCTGGATGGTGGTAACCTGTTGTGACGCTCGAGATGATGTTGACGTTGGCAACTCAGTCACGACCACATTGGAAATAGAGATTATGTCGTCTTCAGAGCTCTCTTCTGAGTCGTCATCGTTGGCATCATCCTTCGAAGAGATCGAATCTTTTGCTCCCTGTAGCGCGAAAGCTTTTATGATAGGAGGAGCTGATATAGCTTGAGGTTTGCCTGAATCACAGTCTGGACAGAGAACATGCTGTCCAAAGCCCTCTTGTCCGACAGGCTTCCCACAAAATGGGTGCATATGAACAGAGCAGATTGGGCAGACGTGAATAGGACCAACGAGGTCACCACAGCCACCACACGGGGAAAGTTGAGCTGAGTTGGAGCTCATTAAAAGACAGCTCTTAGAGGGAGAAGAGGCGTTGGTGTGTTGGAAGAATTTCTGGAATGAGAATAGACCACATTAGCCTCCAAAAGGCGTTGGTGTGTTGGAAGAATTTCTGGAATGAGAATAGACCACATTAGCCTCCAAGAGACGCAGTCACATAAAAAAAACATTTCCAATTATAAAATATCAAATACTTTTCAAATAAGCTTAAGGAAACTGCATAGCTATTATTCTATTAAAAGTATAATTCATATCCTTAAAAAACATAACCCCCTGCTTCGTAGTGTGCCGCGCTGAGGGTAAGTGGGAAACCCACTTTTATTAAAGAGAGTGATTCATTTGCCCGAATGAAAATCTGCCAAATCTGAGTCGAGTCGACCCTAAACCTCCTCAGATAAATACCCCTTTCCGGACAAAGTATACCGTATAGTAAAGGGGGGCGACCACACATTTTTCCCGCCTCGGGGTCTGAATACTGCTGGACGATCGCCACGAATCTGCGCGTGCTGCCGAGCGTGGTTCAGCCACAGGGCAACAATCGATCGGCGCAAACGTTGTAGATGGAGCTAAGGGCGCGGACGTCTCAAACACGTCGTGGATCAGGGTCACGAAGCGATGATGACGCATCCAACGTCTCGGTCGAGTCCAGCGAAGAGGAATTGGTCGACGAATCGCTCCCGATGGAATCTGGCGACAACAGCAGCCGCTCCAGCGACTGGACCAACACCGACGACTCTGAGTCTATCAATGTAACGCTGGCTGTGCCCGACAAGCACCACTTCACATCGTGGGACGCTTTCCACTCGTATTTAGACCGGTATTTTGCCGCATCTTACCAGGTAAAGTGGATTTACACTGCAATAGGCTTCTTTGCTGATCCCATTGTGTGCTATGAAGGTCTTCCGTGTTCGTACAAACACGACCGTTGAGCGTCGTAACACAGACATCCGAAACAAGAACTTTAAAGCACCTGAAATCCCGTCCGAATGGAAATACTACGCGAAGACGTTAGTCTGTACTTGCTTCGGCAAGTACAAGTCGAAGGGAAACAGCAAGCGCCCACGTCAAGAGACCCGGTTATCGGACTGCAAAGCCCAGGTAAGATACGGCTTCAAGTTCTACTTCTGCTCGGGTTCGTTCGGGTTTGTTCGGGCATTGCGGGTACTATTGTCTCAATTATCGGTACTAACGTTTATAAATCTGGCATAGATCAACGCCTGCGTTCGACTAGTTGACAAAGCCAAGCACGCGTTTGCAGTTTGTATCACAAAGTGTAACCCCGTACACAATCATGTCGTCAACCGCCAAACCTTCTATCGTTTTTCCTCGATCCACAAGGTGCTAGATGATGGCGTCGTTGAGTCGGTGGATATGCTCCGCAAGGCGGGTGCTTTAACGACCAAGTCTTTAAAGTGACTTCCGTCCAGCATACTCACTACGATAAGGAGATAAAGCATGTTGCCAACCTCGTTGGCCAACACGCTTGTGAGCTGATCTACAAGCAGTACACGTTTGCCGTCGCCCAAGCTTCGTATCAGTATAATGAGGTATTTCCCGGAGTATACGCTATCCATAGCGAATCAAGGTCGGAAGATGCCCTCGACGAGCCTCGAGTCAGTTACACGGTTCACAAGAATAGTTGGACGTGCTCATGCCTCTTCATGGCGACGCGCTTACTTCCTTGCCGGCATGTGTTCTTCATACGGAAAGACATGAAGATGGAATCTGTAATCCCGACTCAATTGCTAAACGAGCGGTGGCTACTAACTACGGTCCGATCCGCTGTCAACCTGGCTGAACTTCCTCGTGCCAAGTTTGCCATTGTATCTGCCCCTGAAGACGCGAGCTCTGCATGGGACTCTAACCGAAAATATCGGGAGGCGAACTTGATAGCTAGCTCTATCAGTGACACAATGGCCGGATTCGGGATGAAGGACTACCAGCTTGCAATGAAGTTTCTCCAATCGGTGTCTCGTATCATAAAGCAGAAGGAGTTTGAGAGGCTTCTTCAAACCGAAACGGAACGACCTACCATCCTGGTTTCAAAGACCACAGGTGCGGGTGACGATGTGGATGATTGTGGCGACTGTGAGTTTGGTCAAGCTGATATTGAGCATACCGAAGAGAGCTTGCTTGCCGTGGGCGATCATTGCAGTAAGACTAGGATCTCCTGTGTCACAGAGGAGGCCAACACTCACGATCTAGCCGACATATGCCCAACTGTGCCCCAACCAAGACCAACTTTGCCCGAATCAAGACCAACCGTGCCCGAAGCAGGACCGATTGTGCCCGATTTAAGGTTGATCATCCCCGAGCAAGCTGCGAGTGTATCGAAACCGACTGCCCCGAAAACAAGTGCATGTATCCAAGAACCAAGTGAACCGGAGCCACCTACAACCGCGGTTAATATGAGACCAACTGTGCCTGAACCGAGACCGATTGTGCCCGAACATAGCATTTCTGCACTATCACAACCAGTCAATGAAACACCATCAGTAGCTCAAGCCAGTGAAGGAGATCAACAGGCGACTACATCCAGATTATCTACAGTTGATATTGAAGACAGAGATGTGGAGTTCGAAATTGCGAGTCCGACTTCACCCAGCCGCTTAGCCCGGACTACACTATTGAAGCAGACCATGAGATACCAAGCAAGCTTAAGCAGCTACAGATTCGCTCTGACTCGGTACGTCATCTTGTCACTGTACTACCTCGAAATAAGGCTAGTAAGACTAACATTGGAGCACAGATACATCTACTAGACCTTGCTGCCAGAGGGTCACTCGGGGACGAGTGCATGTATGCGGTGATGAACGTGATGTTTGCGTCCACACCAGGGGTGGTCACCATTGATTCGAGCCACGTCGGTGTAGTTGTCAACGGGAAAAACACTACAGACATGGAGGGCCTTGCGTCTCTTTTCGCCGGGGTTTCGGACGAAAAGGTGCTCGTTCCCATCAATTGTAATGGAAATCATTGGTGCGCTATCATGATCGACCTATCGACCGAAAGCATATACACTTACGACCCGATGTCATCATCCTATGCGGCCAGCGTCCGAGCTATCGCGCACAAATTGGTGGGGGTCCTACCGATACCGAAGCATAGGTATCATCACCAGTCGTACGTATCGAGCATTGGTATCCAGACCGACAACTACAATTGTGGCATTTACGTTCTCTTGGCATTCGAAGCCTTTACGGGAGCTTCTGACGTGGGATATGTGAACAAGCAAAGGTTGCAGCTTCTACGATACCGGTACCTCTGTATGACTGTGTAAGTTTCTTCGGCATAATATGGGACTTTACATTTCTGATGCATTTTTCTCTGACACTGCCTGGGATGTCATTGAACTTGGCTACACTTCACTGAACTATTTATCCAGCTATACATGATTCGCATGTATACATCTAATGCCCCCATTCGGGTAGCTCGGACACATTCGGGCGCACTCGGGTGTGTGCAAATCCTAAAGCATGTTGCCATTCAGGTGATATAACGACTGCCTTTATTAAATGACCTGTTATTGCATCACCAGTAAAACGCGAGCTCCGTCCGTTGCTGCGGAGGGACTCGAACTCACGCCAGGAGTGTAAACCGGGCCAGTCTTTTCCACTGCGCCAATTCGAATGCCCAAAATAAGGTGATACTAATTATGAACTTAGACTAATTTTGAACACGACATTTTCTTGCTCACGGTAATTAGTCTCACATTCGAACGGTGTGACTAATTTCGAACTGTGTGACTAATTTCGAGCTGTGACTATTTATTCACACAGACTAATTACCTTAGGCACTGTAGCGACGTGACTGGGGACGACTGGAAGTCGTTTTTTCTACTCGATGTCACGACATACAAGAAGCTACAACAGACCGCTAAGGCGTTAGTCATGGATGTAGAGCTTCATGATGCATCATCGCGACTCTCTCGCCTACTAGCCAGCTTCTATCAAATTCTGGACGATTTGAATATGGAGGATTTCATTCACGAAGACCCGAAGACGGTGGTCGAATACTTGACAAACGCTCTTCGGCCTCCGACTTTTAAAGCTACTGTCAAGGCCTATCTGGCGCGACCAGCCTACAAGCCAGTCAAACGGGACGTACAGGAGTTTTGAAGTGGCTCAAGCCAGAGTCGGAAGCGTTTATGAAGTTCGAGGTGCACATGCAATCGGCGAATCCTCCGCCTGCATCGAAAACGGCGGCCGGATATCAATCTGGATACCAACGCCACCCGAAGTCTGCCTCAGGTGCCAGCAAAAGCCCAGGTGAAGCGGGTAGTGCTAAACCGGCCGCTGGTGGTGCAGAGGCACGACCGCCCTCAACTCGAAAGGAAAAACGTCAAAGATCAGCGCCGGACTCCCGACCGCGCGCTTGTTTTAGATGTCACGATCCAACTCACGGAGTTTTCCAGTGCCCAAACATAGCCAATGCTCAAGAGGCGAAGACACTTTACGAACAGCACACGGGAAGAAAGGTGGTAAGGAACGTTCGTGTTGGTACGGTCTGCAGGAATGACGCAGATGAGAAGAAGCACGTGAAGCGACTCCCGATTTCTGCGAAGGTTAATGGCATAGTGGACTGCACGGTCACGCTCGATAGCGGGGCCAGTGTCACGCTTATTTCTCCAGTGCTGTTTGAGAAGCTTGAGAACGCGAGCGACGGTTTGATTAAGCGTGCACTGCAGGTTCCGGGCAGATATGGTGGTGTTGGCGGAAATGGGGTACTCGTTCACGAGTAGATTGATCTGGATTTCAAGTTCGAAACTCCAGGCGGGCCACTAGTGTTGCGGCGAGTGCCGGTCTGGGTCGGCAAACTACCGGATGGAGTGGGCGATGTACTATTGGCAGATGACAGCCTTTGTTTAGCCTACGGAAAGCGAAATTAAAGCTTGTCAACAAGGCAAACGAGCGCCGTCCGGCTGTCAACGAAATCATTCGGACATTTTCTGTTATGAGAGAGGGCGAATTTGGCTGCCTAACTCAGCATCAGAGCTACAGCTGCGTATTTGCATCATTGGGCATTTGGGAGCTGCAGGTCACCGCTCGATTGAAGTGACACTGGCAACCATCCGTGAGCATTTTGTCTGGAGCAAGTTGGAGAACGATGTGTGATTTTTCGTGGGTCGATGTTTACACTGCGCGAGTGTTTCGGGCGGGCGTCCCAATCCTCGACCATTAGGGGAGGCAATTCATACTGAAAAACCTAACGAAGTCTTTTATTGGGACTACTTGTACATGGGCAAAGCCACGACTGGGGAAGTGTATGTATTGGTCCTCAAAGATGACACGTCCAACTTCGTTTGGTTGACTCCATGCGTCACAGCTGACGCCGAGACAACCTACACTTCTCTGGTGGACTGGTTTGCTAATTTTGGAGTCTGTCACTCATGGGTGAGTGACCAAGGTACCCATTTTAAAATCGGGTAATCGAGGCCTTGCAACATGCACTAGGTGCGCACCACCATTTTACCACAGCTAGGTGTCCGTGGGCGAATGGCTCTGTTGAAGTGGTGATGAGAGAGGTTCTCTGATGTGCAAGAGCTTTGCTCTCAGAATGGAGAATGCCTACAACGGAGTGGACACTTGTCGTCAAGATTGTCCAGATGGTACTAAACCATTCGCCGTCCTTTTCGCTTGGTGGAGTGGCGCCAGTGACGGCTATGACTGGTATCAAAGCGATATCACCGTTGGACCCGATTGTAGTACCACACTCAGCAGCACCAACAACACTCGAGGAGATCCGACAAAATCAGCGTTTACACTTTGAGAAGGTCTAAGCTGCGTTGGAGCAAATGCACAAGCGTATCGTGGCAACGAACAATAAGGTGCGTGCACGGGGTCGACGTTACAGCGACCAGAAACAAGGAACGCGGTTGGCGCAGTTTGACGTTGGCGACTTCGTCCTCTATGCAGATGTATGGGCCCACGCCCGTGATAAGCTGCGTGTGAAATGGTGCGGTCCAGCGCAGGTCACCGGAACAGTGTCAAACTGGATCTTTCGTATCACAAACTTAGTGACTGGCGACGAGCGTGAAGCGCATGCCAGTCGCCTGAAGTTTTACAGTGATGACTCTTTGGAGTTATCGGAGGATTTGCTGCTGCATGTGGCTCATAAACAGTGAAGGCCACGTTGTAGACAAGTTCATGGGGGCCTCCTACGATGCAGAGTCAAAGCAGTACCAGTTGTTGGTGCGCTGGCGTGGTTTGAGCGAGCTCGAGGTTTCTTGGGAGCCCATTCATGCGATGATTGAAGATGTTCCAGCAGCAGTAAAGTCATTTGTGGCGGGGAATATTCGTCATGACATTGTTCGTCCGATGGATTTTTTTTAAATCTTGTTTTTTTAATGACTTTGTTGACCATTGTTTTAAAAGATTTCCATTATAATTTGTTAAACTTATAATAGTATTTTTTAAACTAGCCGTAATATGCAAATTAGCTAAAATTAAAGGATTTTTTTAAATGTTTTTTACTTTATATTTATTTCTAAAATTATATTTGTACCTTTTTTACATATAACAATCACTTCTACTTTTACCGTGGCGCAGAACATTAATGTATTGATTTTAACGTCGTTCGATTGCATTTAAACGAAGATAACAACTTATCGTTCGAGCCACAAGGACAGCAACCCTACATCTTTGTAGGTAGGTTGCACATCGCAATATCATACTGCGCTAGCTAACAAAACCTTCGGTGCATTTTCTCCCTAACGAGGTGTTTATCGTTCTCTTTAAACGTATAACCTTTTTGATATATGTGGTTACGATTGTAAAGCGCTCGCAATGGGTGCGTACGAACTCAATTGAGAGTTGTTGCTCAAGCAGCTAAAATACGAGCAAGGTTTGTTGTAGAAGCACAGGCATTATGTAGCTTGTCTTTTGTACAGATGTTTAACGTTTTTTGTTTGATGTTGCCTCCCAGTTTCCCAAGTTTTTGGTAAAATGTTTAGTGATTTTGTTTGACATGTACATCGCTTAAAAGGGCTTTAGCATTGATCACAGCTTAATTTATACTGGGAATACCTCAGAATGAGTAATGGACAGCCCACACAGGATTAATTGCGTGAGCGTAACGTAAATGGGTCAACGTTCGGACAACATCCAAAATATCGTACTTAGTATGTGATTAGACTGGAAAAAGCAAAAAGACGTTACATGTATTCTTTCGGTTTGTCAATCTGCGCCAGTGGCTCCGTCAGCGGCGACGTTGGTGGCGGTGAGAGCGCAGGCGGCGATGGCAGCAGCGATGTAAGTCTTTATTATTGAGTTGGTTAGTAGAAGAAGTGGAGAAGCGGATGATGTTTTTTTGAGCGGGCTGATGCTAACGTTATTCTTTCGGTTTGTAAATCTGCGCCAGTGGCTCCGTCAGCGGCGACGTTGGTGGCGGTGAGAGCGCAGGCGGCGATGGCAGCAGCGATGTAAGTCTTTATTATTGAGTTGGTTAGTAGAAGAAGTGGAGAAGCGGATGATGTTTTTTTGAGCGGGCTAATGCTAACGTTATTCTTTCGGTTTGTAAATCTGCGCCAGTGGCTCCGTCAGCGGCGACGTTGGTGGCGGTGAGAGCGCAGGCGGCGATGGCAGCAGCGATGTAAGTCTTTATTATTGAGTTGGTTAGTAGAAGAAGTGGAGAAGCGGATGATGTTTTTTTGAGCGGGCTAATGCTAACGTTATTCTTTCGGTTTGTCAATCTGCGCCAGTGGCTCCGTCAGCGGCGACGTTGGTGGCGGTGAGAGCGCAGGCGGCGATGGCAGCAGCGATGTAAGTCTTTATTATTGAGTTGGTTAGTAGAAGAAGTGGAGAAGCAGATGATGGTTTTTTGAGCGGGCTAATGCTAACGTTATTCTTTCGGTTTGTCAATCTGCGCCAGTGGCTCCGTCAGCGGCGACGTTGGTGGCGGTGAGAGCGCAGGCGGCGATGGCAGCAGCGATGTAAGTCTTTATTATTGAGTTGGTTAGTAGAAGAAGTGGAGAAGCGGATGATGTTTTTTTGAGCGGGCTAATGCTAACGTTATTCTTTCGGTTTGTAAATCTGCGCCAGTGGCTCCGTCAGCGGCGACGTTGGTGGCGGTGAGAGCGCAGGCGGCGATGGCAGCAGCGATGTAAGTCTTTATTATTGAGTTGGTTAGTAGAAGAAGTGGAGAAGCGGATGATGTTTTTTTGAGCGGGCTAATGCTAACGTTATTCTTTCGGTTTGTAAATCTGCGCCAGTGGCTCCGTCAGCGGCGACGTTGGTGGCGGTGAGAGCGCAGGCGGCGATGGCAGCAGCGATGTAAGTCTTTATTATTGAGTTGGTTAGTAGAAGAAGTGGAGAAGCGGATGATGTTTTTTTGAGCGGGCTAATGCTAACGTTATTCTTTCGGTTTGTCAATCTGCGCCAGTGGCTCCGTCAGCGGCGACGTTGGTGGCGGTGAGAGCGCAGGCGGCGATGGCTGCAGCGATGTAAGTCTTTGGTTTTTTAGCATCTTTTCGTCCATCCACTGAGCTAATTGGAGCAGATGCATGTGCAGCCGCCGTTGGATATACGTACCAGCAACATCTAGCTCAAGATTTTACGTAAACATGAAGGAAAATGACCCTTACCGTTAAAGTAACAAATTGTTGTTTGATTTGACAAACTGTACGTAACGATAAAGGAAATTGACCATACAGTTGGAATCAACATCAACGGCAATCTGCAATTTACAGTCATGGCAAAACGACGATATGCAAATGCAGCTGAAGATGAGTTATCTTGTACAGGAAAACCTGATGCAATTCAGGCCACTGCAGCGCAAGAAACAAAGCGTCAACGAAAAGCTCAGTACCGCAACGGGACCTCCGATGAAGCTTGAACCTGACGTGAAGAGACGCAAAACCAGCTAAGCGTTGGCAGTTTTGGTTGATACCAAATACATTGCCCAGCCTTTAATTCTACTTTGCTATTGACAATTATGCTAACAACCGTATCAAAAAAAATTAGCCATCTTAATGTTAGCTTTCCGAACCTCCCAGTCGCAGGGGGTCCCCCCCCAGAGACAGCAAATGTCGACATATTTTTAAAAATATGTATTCCCAGTGTAAGTCGCAGACGATCTAGTATATATTATGTAAATTAACGACTCCAATGCAATATCATTGGTAGACGCACGCCTTCATCGCTTTGTACGCCGGCTCACATCTTTAAGGCATGACTTTCTTGATCTGGCTGTATACAGTGCCAGTGCATGTACACTGTATACTCCAGGTGCTGGTTGTTCTGGACACTTCCGGAGTCCTGGTCGGACGCCTGCCGTGTATAGGCGGCGACGCTGTCGTCACTTGAAGTAGAGAAGTCCCTCGTAGCGGTAACGGGCCCCAGGCGTTGTGTGAGGCCCAGCAGTAGCTAAAGGTTTGTGAATTCAGTTTGATTTTTGCTTTCTGTTGTACAGACGGCATTCGATCCGGTGAGGAAAGATCAAAGTTAACTTTAGTTACCTTTCTTGCTCAGTTCGAGCTCAAGCTCCGCGTTGTGTGACGCGAGATGGCAAGTAAGAAAGAAGACGTAATGGACGAACTCGAAGAGAAGACCAGAAGAATGCAGAGCGTCGGGTCGGCGCGGTCCCCGAGTCTCCAATTACAAATCCCGAACACGTTCACGGAAGCGACGGGCCCGGACGAGGCGGATGATGAAGGCATGCCGACGGTAAGCCCGCGGTCAAGCCAAGGGCGCGTTGCGGCAGCGCCAGCGCTTCCCCAGCCTCCCAGATACAAGGGTGTAACCATGCAAGACCGGAGGGACTTCATGAAGACATACGAAACGTATCTCGCAGCAGTTAATGCCCTGCAGACCCAATGGACTGGCGCGTTTGCAATGCCAGTGGGTGCGTGTATTGAGACCGGCACGAAGCGGCTTATCGCTCGTTGGACCTTCGGGAAGGCCTTCGAACAGATCACGGAAGACGGGTGGATCCAATACTTCAAACAAGCGAATCTGGCCTCGATCGTCGACTATGCCACGGTGGACGCGGCCATGACTAAGCTGAAGATGGACACGTCGGTGCCCGAGCCGGAGAGCCGCATGATGCACGTGTGAACTGTCCACAGGGCGATGCAGCCTGTGGTAACAGACGAAAAACGTTACTGCAACAACAAATTGTATATGCATTTGAAGAACAACATGAACATGATTACGCTGTGGAAGTGGATTAAGAATGAGAAAACATGAATGCCGACCGCGGAGCAACCACTGAAAACGAAGTCACGCGAGACACCTCAACAGTTAGCTGAGATGCTGGAGAACGTCGTGGAACGTGCAGCGAGGATTCAAATCGATTCCAAGTGCCTGGCCGCGGTGGCCAAGAGTGTACGAAGTCGAGTCACCACTCTCCTTCTCCTCTTCATCAGGAACCTGAGCCTCGACAGCTGGAGCTGCAGCCGGACCCTGCGAATCCTCGGTACCAGCTTCAACAGGAACAGCAGTCAGAGCGGAACGTGGAGTACCCGGTGGCGAGTCAAACAACGAACGCCAGGTCGGAATAAGCTCGGTTAAATCGAGAGACGGGTCAACGATCACGCTTCGGTACACATCCACGAAACGCGTACCACGAGGATTGAAAAGCTCCGGATTACGCTGGCACGGGAAGTACGTAGTGCTGTACGGGTGCCGATGCGGCGCATTCATCCATCCAGTACGCCATGGCTGCCGAGCGTCGAGAGCCGGAACTTCGGAAAGCCAGTCAGATGTCCGAGGTGCGAGC